ATTAAGTGGTCTTTCATAAAGATTTCCCGCTCTGTCGAGCATGCATAGTGGACGGTATGCTGATGGCAAGCTGGGATTTCCTTTTCCCTTACTGATTAGGACCAGCCAGGAACCAGGAGATTAATTTCGTAACGTTCCACTTTTGGCTGGCGGTATTTCTTCTCTGGTTTTTATCGTGGATGCCGGTGTCAATCGCGAAGAAGATGTACTGATAATCGCTGCCAGTGTATACTTCTAGTACTCTCCATTCCTTTATTAAGCCTGCTATACGTTCTGATGATAGGGTGATGTCTGATGTAGTTTCCTCGCACCCCGATCTCCTAAACGTAGTTGCGTCTCCTGAGTTTAGCACTATTGGACCGAGACGCGCTGCAGTATCTAAGATGCGCTTACCTTTCCAGTCGGTGTTTGGCATACCTCACTCTATGGGTTTCGAGTTTAGGTCTCCGGCGACAACTAAAGGGCCCTCTATAGACCTAGCCGTGTCTTCAATGTTGTTGAGCTTTTCCTGGAATTCGTGTATTTGAAAAAGTCGGAACTGGCCCAGACGAAACCGTTGCTGTTCCCTTTACCTGTGATGGTGATTTTACTTCTTGGGGTTAGCCATATAGCGGCGCTTGAGCTGCTATCTTCTAGCCAGGTTCCACTCTCTTTTTTCTGTATTGTTCGCTTATGATGATTAAATCATAGCCGTTCTCCATCACCATCTGGGAGAGTAGTGCGTCAGCAGCCTTGCATCTGGGCCTGTAGGATATTCATTTATTCAGGAATTCAGGTAAGTTGATGATCATAAATGAAAGAGAAAAGTTATGTACAAAAGAAAAGTTACGTTACAATATATAAAGGGTGAGTAATTATAATATGTAACTACAAAAAAAATATGTGGTGAATTATTCTAATATGTATCTCGCGTGATGTTTTGCTCTAAGGTATGAATCGAAGGGGGGTTGTCCGCATAGACTTAAGACATACCACAGAAAAAAGTCTAACATTGTTATATCATACGCTCTTAGAGGCCAATCGACCGGCCCAAAACGTGAAGTTATATGCTCACCGAAGTATTCTCTCAATAAATCCATTGATTGATGCGATGTGTGGGAGGTGGCGCCGTCTTGATGAAACCTAATGTCACCGAGATCACGAACTTCAATTTCTGGCATCAAGTAGTGGGTTATCATGGTGCGATAGCAGGTGAAAAAAATATGGACCGATGATTCCGCCGGCTCACAAACCACACCAAACTTTTGTTTTTTCTTAATGAAATAGCAGTTTATGAATCTCTTCAGATTGCTCTTCGTCCCAAATGCGATAAGTTTACTTGTGTACATACCATTGATCCAGAAATGAGCCTCACCGCTGAACAAAATTTGGCTCGAAAACGTCGGATCATCTTGGAATGTTTCAAGACCGCATAGAGCGAAGTGATGCCGCTTGGATAGTCGAGCGACTTCAGTTTTTGCACAAGCTGTATTTTGTACGCTTTCAATTTAAGATCTCGGCGGAAAATGCACCAAGTCGTTCCATAGGTCAGTCCGAGTTGCTGCGAACCGCGCAAAATAGACTTTCCATGGTCTTCGTGTACACTCTCAGCTACGGCAGCTATATTTTCTTCACTGTGTGCTGGATGTGATCTTTTCGGTCGAACATTATGCAATAATGAATACCGCGTCTCGAGATGGGTGATCGTTGTGAATAGTACGTTCAGTAGGCCGATTATGTTGAGCAAAAGTTGAGCGAATGGCTTGGTACACATTCTTTACAGAACGTAAATTTTCGTAATAAAGTTACACGAATTAGTTAGTGTCACGTTAGTGTTAGTGTAAAGCGTAAGTGTCTCATGCAAGATCTGTCAAAAAAGCCAATTTAAAAAGTATCTCTCCTTGGATCACACGTTGTATTTAATTTTTTGAAGAATTTGAACCAAATGCTAAAGTTGTAGAAAACCATTTACAAAAATAAATTTAAAAAAATTTAAATTTATAATTCATTCTCGTGCAAAGTCACCTACCATCATTACTGACATAAAATTTAAGCCCGTCAAATGATCAACAATATTCCAACTCTATCAAATGTTTGTCCTTGGGATTTGTTATTGTCATAGATTATGCGATTATGACTGGAAACTGTGTTCTTTGAAAATTAAATAGCATTAC